AACTATCAAAACGCCTGCCATTTGTTATAAATAAATATTTGCCAAAATGACCTAGGGCATTTATCTTAGTAGAAATTTTGAGGACACGAGTTTTTGCTCTAACGAAAAATTTATATTACCTTTCGAATTAATATGGAGCCTTTAGTTCGAATTAGGCGTGAAGGAGGTTAAAGAGGTGTTGAATGAATTTTGCAGATTGACAATGTGAGCATATTCTTAAGACGCAATTATTACTTTCCTGAGCCATCAATACTAAAAGTGAACTTAAGCCTAACCACAGCTTTTAAGGGAATGTAGGTGCTGAAAGTTAACTAATTAGATTAAAGGATGCAAAATGTTCTTCCGTGAATATTGATCATGTCTGAGGGAGTTAATGGGAAAACTGATTTTTCGCATTAATCAAACTCTGCGAATTGCAGCTAATGAGCTAACAAGACGGTCGAGACATTACTAAAAGACAAACGAAATGAGCTATAAAATAAAAATTCACTTTTACGAATGTTACTCATGTAAGAATTAGGAAGAATATTCAAATCATACGACTGCATATTAATTTAAAATTAAAGTTGAAAATAGCGACTTATTTTTAACTCCCAACTCGTCATAGTCCCCAACGATGATAGAAAAAATTTCCTCTTAATTTTGCCATGACTTAAAAATGTGAAAATTTAGAAATAGATAAAGGTGGAAGCATCTAGCTTGTACTCACGAAGTATTAAATCGACAGTTTCTTTATTTTGCATAAAAACCGCAATATAACTAGATGAGAAGGAAGCGATGCCTTCGTGAGTTTAAAGAAGAAGTTGTGAAAGAAAGATTTTCAGCATTCTTTTACGCTCAAAGAAGAAATTATTGATAAAGAATGTATGATACAATTCGTGCAACTAGAGACTCTGCATTTTTAGCTGACATTTGAAATAAAAGACAAGCAAACTTTTCGGAACAATAGAAGTCGAAATCAAATATACGTTTTTAGTATCTGTGAAATGAAAAGGAAGAATCATTGAATTTTTCGATAATCTACGTGTTCTTTAAGACGGTGCTTGAGTGAAACGAACTTCCACATTCGTCGTGCTTGAGCAGGAACTACTGTGAGATGACATTTTTGAAAAGAGCAGATTATTAGATAGGTCGCAACTTGATAAGATCACTTTGCATTTCAGCATTACATCTGAGGATAACATTTTCGTATCTATACTATTTGTGACTTTTCTTAAAAAAAAAATTTATGGAGGCAAATATAAATTAATAACGAAGTTATATTGATCTACTGACGAATCACAAACCACGAGCTCATTTGCAGGAAATACTGATTCAATGATAGTGAATTTAGCCAAGCTTGAAATATCTAAAAAATTAGTGAATTATTTTTAAATCTTATTGAATCTCAAAGTAATCGATTTATATTCGACAATTTTCATTGATGCAGTAAGTCAGTTTGCCCTTTCGGTAGAGAGTCAAATTAAAACTCTCTCCGTGTAATCGGGTACACTCGAAGAAGTGAGCGATTATAGCAGTAAAAACAGGATTTTTGCTTATTGCTTGGTTCCGTAGTGAAATCATCTTCAAATGAGCAATAACTTTAAATCTTCCTGGGGTGTGCGATAGACTTACCTCCACGTGGTGCACTCTGGGCAACGTATACTCATACGGCAAAAAAGTCTATAAATCGGCAGTTGACTTCTAACATCAAACTACCACGACCCCCCTGGTTGTCATATTCGATCCCTTTCACAGTACTCACCTTACCTTTTACTCTACCTTTGTGTCTGTCTGCCTCTTCTACATCTGTGAATCGCTCTTCTGTTCCCCACCCCTCGACTTTCTGTTACTTTGATGGACCTTCCCTCTGTGAAGACCGAAGTCAGCTAAATGGTTAATGATATCTATCAAAACGCCTGCCATTCGAAATAAATAAATAATAAATACTTTAAATCTTCCTACTTGATGAGGAGAAACTTACATCAAAGGGGCGAGGGGATTCTGAACGTTATAACATTACTAGAATAAACTAGTTTTTTTGTTATCATAAAAATATACTTTATTGTTGATAGAACAATTTCAAATCAATTCCAATTCTTATCAATGCTGCAAACCTAATAGTATATATATAGAGGCATGCAGAGAGATTTTGAGTTACAACCGAAAAAATTTACATGAATTTTATTTCTTTTAACGCAGAACCAATTAAAAGTAAATAAAAATAAGTTCACCGATTTAACGTCGAATTTTATGCAATACACATATACCAATTAAAATGTAACGGTCTCCACTTTCATCACTGTAAAACTGCCAATACCCAGGAACAGGTCACGCACTCGAATCAATAGCAATGCTAAACTCGATTTGACAACAAGAAACATTAAAATAGAGTTTGAAAAAACCTTGTTTTGGAAATCGAACAATTAAAGTAAATAAATTTCTCTAGAACAAACGCATATCGTGTAAAATGAAATAAGTTAATTAAATAAAACCTACAATGACCTCTGACCTTTAACAAAGAAAGCTTAATATCAACAGAGGAAATAACGGAAGTTTAAATTTTAATTAAAAACCAATGGCCGTTATATTTTAGACGCAACACGTAAATTCAGATCAGGTGCGCTATTGAACACGTTTAAGGATTTCAGTGCAAAAAACAGTGATAAGGAAGTAGTTTAAAGTTAAGGTATGAAGTTATGGGTGTGATAAGCGGTGGAAAATAGTTTATTAATTTATATCAAATGGCAGGCGTTTTGGTAGTTATCATTAGCACTTAATTTGGCTTCAGGCTTCACAGATGGGAAGGAACGTCAAATTGAAAAAAGTTGAGAGGGGGGGAACAGAAGAGTGTTTCAAAGACGAAGGTTGAAAATTTAGAAAAAGCGAAGGTTGAAAATTTAGAAAAAATGTGATGTAGTACTGTAAGGTTGAAAATTTAGAAAATTTGTGATGAAGTACTGTGGAGGTAGTGGAATATGACATAGAGTGGTGTGAGTACTGTGAAAATGATCGAATATGACATGGAGTCAGCGAGTACTGTGGAAGTAGTCGAATATGACATACAGTGGGGCGAGTGCTGTTGAAGGGGTTGAATATGACAAGCAGTCGGGCTGATTGGTAGTTTGAAGTGAGAAGTCAACTGCCGGTTGATAGACGTAGTTTGAAGTCAGAAGTCAACTGCCGGTTGATAGACTTGTTAGTTTGAAGTGAGAAGTCAACTGCCAGTTAATAGACTTGTAGTTTGAAGTGAGAAGTCAACTGCCAGTTAATAGACTTTATTTGCCGTATGAGTATACGTTGCCCAGGGTGAACCACGTGGAGGTAAGTCTATCGCACACTCCTAGTTTACAAATGAAATCTTGGTGGGAGTGGGAAAAATTATGTAATTTCAGATGTTAACTTTCTTCCGGTATTTTAATCAAATTAGAGAATTCAAATCTACTTTCATGAAAAACAGCATAATAGACTTGACATTATTTTTGTAAATTATCCTAGAAAGTAATGGGATTCACTAGAAATTTTGAAGATGTTCAAGACAGAGATGTAATTAACAACACCAACATATTTTCCTTATTCAAGGCAGATCTCGATATACTTTACTTCTTATTTAATGACCCAAAGCGGAAAAGAAAGACACATAGTAGTCTGGCTAACGACGTTTTGATAGCTATCATAAACTTACTAAGTGCATGAATGCGGAGTGAAATATACTTTTCTCAACTGAGTAGCGAACAAGCAAAAAGACAATTCATCCATTTCTACTAATGAAACAAGAAAAGCTAGAAAAACTTATTTATTTCAAATGGCAGGCTTTATGATAGTTATATAGCCCTTAATCTTTGACTTCAGCTTCCCCCAAGAGGGGGGGGGTACATTTATAGCAGTTAATTAATAGCAATTCATTAGCTGTCTTCTTGCTTCCCAGTATCTTTGGCTTTCCGTCCTTGTCTTTAGAGCTGGACATCGAATCAGGTAGGTCTTCTCCATTTCCTCCTGTAGGTTACATAGAGGGCATGTGGGTTGAGTGTGCACTCCCAATCTGTAAAGGTGTTTTGCCAAGCAAAAAGCTAGATAAATAATTAACAGAAGATCACTAGTATACCCCTGACTTAGAAGTAGTCATGTAGCAGATTCCTTTTTCATGCATAATCTTCAATCGGGTCATGGATTCCTCCTCATTATCTAAGTCAAGCATTTTTGAAAACTTACCTAAATCAGCAAGGATGATTTTCAAATTAATTTTAGCAGAAATACTTAATACTAATTCAAATTGAGCTCTAGAAAAGAAATTTTAAGTGATAATTCTTAATGCTCTTTAATTTAATAACCTTAGATAGAGTTATAACTGAAGACGATTTATTGATAAAAGAAAGTTTATTTTAAAATTCACAAAGACAAAAAGCGTGTTTTGTTCAAGTCAAAGTCTAGTCATCAATTCTTACAAAACGTAAACGTTACGTTGTTTAATACTCCACTCTTCCGTCACCCTAGAGAAAAAGAAAGCAGCAAATCGATAAAAAGACAAACACAAGGAAATGCGCCAATAAGAGAGGACGCTTACGCTTTGGCGGCTAAATTGAACCCGGGTGGTCCGCAAATAAGGACCAAGGTAGATTCAACAGGCAAGGCCACACTTGTAGCGAAAAATTGGCGCGACTTTATATCCTCAATTGTACCAGAACGGTGATATGTGGAGGGTAAAACTCTTTCCTCTGATAGCCAAAATTGTTGCTTAAAGCTGAGAAATTAATTATATATCTTAATAGACTCTACAATGACAACATGCTACCCTCTGTCACCCCATTAGTGTCAATCGAACTCCGCGATTATACTCGCTAAAAGATCACATCCAGTGGCTTCCCGACTATGATGCTCAAAGTTGGTGGTTAAGTGGGTATTGATTCGTTACTAGACTTTCGGCTAACAAATGAGAACTTAATAAAATTTCGATCCCTACAGCGAACATGTGGCGCTAATAATAGCAGCTACACAATTTTAATTGAAATGTTTGAAAAAGCAGAGGTTTGTACTAATTAGTTTTCAACAAATCAAAGCTAAATTTAAGTCTTAAATTGTAATAAACGAACACTATTATTGCATATTTATTCCCACGATTAGTTAATATCACTATTCACAAGCTTATTCAAAGCTACAAATATGTAAGGGGGTACCATGAAATAATAATCGAATGAATGTTTGCCACTAAGAGGCCAGATCCTGAAATTCAAACTCTTCAACAAATGCATCTATGAGAAATAAAAAATATAATTTGAACTAATATCGACTAAAATCCATAACTAATAAATCACGACTTTATGTCTGAGGACATCTTTGAACTTAGAAACCACCTTTTCTTCACATACATGATCATCTGGTAGATTGAAAGATGTTTCAATGCTCACCATTACCACCACTGTCAGAGAAAATGATTATGGAAACTGCATTCTAGTATAAAAGGGGTACTTTGAACTATTAAATTAGCTATCTCTATATAAAAACATTCATCCTAACTTCGTATCAGCCCCTAAATAAAACAATGAGATATGATCTACCTTTCAGAGGCGAAATTCACGAAATCATCGAACAACACCAAATCGTCATGGCATCGATTGAACCAGAGAAGAGAGATCCTGTGATCAGGGAAGGAGGAGAGAAGGAATTTGATGAGAGGTATGAAGGGCGTGATTCCACTTCCAGCGCATAAGATACATATGTTCTTCCAGGGACGAAAACTATCAACACACGGCGGATTTACGATACGCTCGACTAGAATGCTTGAACTGAGAGAACATTGAGGTAAACTAACTCTCAGTTTAGAGCCTATTGCAACTTCATTGAGAATTCGTGAGACGATACCGTTTTCGTAGATTTTGACGAGAATATCAAAATACGATGTATCCAGTGACCCTGGAGCCCCGTGGTCTGCGCCATGAAGTAGAGTGACACAAGTCGGAGTATAGGGCCTTATGTGTTCGTCACCTTTACTATCTTTAACGCGGACATAGACGTGACTTAAAAAGGGAATGGGAATGTGGGATGCTTCAACTGGCCATCTCAGTCGAATAGATCGGTAAATACGATTTGACTCAAGACTGCTAGTAATCACATCGCAGTCCAGATAATCATCTAGTAAAGAGCGAGTTTCGGTTAAGAGGGACGAGAAATAATTACCAAGGTCTGGTAGTTTTGAGAATTCCACAAATTTCTCCTGCAGAACACTTCCGATTGCACTGAGATTTCGTTGAGATGAAGAGGTGTTGGTAAATTCAACATTCACATAAGAAGAAGGATTTCGACTATAGAAAGATTTAGGGCTAATTTCCATTTTGTCTAAGCACGGTCTCAAACCAGGTAAAAGCTCTAAAGGTGACCAAATGAGATTAGTAAAAATAAATATTACTTAATTTGAAAGAGTAGAACGCTTTTTCCAGCAGAATCCGCATATTCAGAATTGTACGTTCGGAGTCATTTTCATCCTGCTTCATGCTAGCCATTCCGTGTAGTTGACTATCAAGTGTTATGAGTTCCTGATTAAATTTAAAGGAGAGAATGAGGCTAGTTTTGTCTGGTGACAAAAACCAATCAAGCCTAAAAAATAAATATGACAGTGAGCGAATCACCAAGCGCTACTATTATGAAGCAAATAGAGTGGTTAAAAATTGAGAAAACAATCAATTTTTTATTACATATCCACTAGTAATCTCCTTCTCTAACGACAATAAAGCACGTTTTAAAAGATCAGGGTAATAAAAATCAATCAGCAACTAAGTGATCTCTGTGCTTTCAAAAATCTTTAAGTATGAAAAAACTTTCAAATGCCAATGTATTTCTAAGTGTAGACGAGCTCCGTGTATCAACAAAATTTAAAAAAGAGATCTTTAGATTTACCAGGGTCGAAAAAATCAAACGGGCCACAACCCCCCCCCCCTTCTCATTTTTATATTACTTTTATTGCATTTAAGATTCCCCAGTAGATAACACAGTAAAGAAGGAATGTATAAAAAAAGATATTTTAGCCGTCGAAATGGGTTTGTATAATAGAATGCCATAATGAGACCTATATCCATATTTCGGTTATTTGTAGTGAGTCTCAGGCAGCATTAATGGGAAATGAAAAATTAATCGAATTTGACCAAGGGAAAGATGACTTTAGAAGAAACGCACTTGCAATTAATGTATGGGCATAGAAAAATCGAAAATCGAAAAAATGGGAAAAAATTTTCTAAGCGATTTTCAAATTAACGCAAGAAGAGTATAAGGCTTGCGAAGAGGTTAGAATTAACCCATTAAAAATGAAGTTAATAAAAAAAATAAAATAAAATTTACGTTGGTTTCAGTGGGAGATTTCGGTTAATCTGAGACGGGGGAAGAATATTCATTCTTGGCGTTAGGACTGAAAGAATGATGAGAGAAAAGTAATAATAAAAAAAGAAAACGGACAATTTTGTGAAGGTTTTGGTCCACTGTGTGACACAAGACGCCCCTTCTTTAGACGCGATATCATATTGAGGCTAATGTAAGCGTGGGCCTAAAACATAAAAAAATGAGAAATTGTTTCCATTTAGAAACGTAATGTGTAAAGAGGATGGGTCAGAAAATGGCATACACATCGAAATGGCTCGGTGGCGTCTGTTCCGGCGAATTCAGCCAAAATCTGCTGCCCACCTGGATGATATTCCAGAAAAGGTGTGACGTCATATACTTCAACTGAACAGAAAATTACATGAAAAACAGGTATCAACAGCATCGCAAGATATCACGAAGCAAGAGAGGCGACTAACTGTAGGGTGAACGCTAATTTGAAAATACTAAAGATAAATTTATAGGAAGAATAGATTTAAAGGTACATAAGCGCGAAACTACGTCAAATTCGGTTTAGCTACCTACGATGACCTTAACACAGGTTCATGATATAGGCAATCTTTTCTGTAATTGTGAGAAATAAGAAGGAAGGTCAGTTCATTGGTAGATCAGACGTAATTAAACGCTCACATCAGTACGCCGAATAGACGAATGGACATTACACTTCGTAAAAATCTCATCCTTACACTCGTAAAGTTAAGAAAGGAAACAAAGATGGACAGCCGTATTGAAATAAATCCTTAAATTTTATAGCGAAAGGTTGATATAGTAATTAAGGTAGAAGTAACGATCAAGAATGTTCCTAAAGTAAATGAATTTACACTCACAAATCAATGAGTGATAATAAACATAATGGCTTATACAATCAATTTTCTAAATACCTGTCGAGCCATTCCGAAACGCCATCCACATATCATTGTTTTTGTTATGATCGGCTAATTCATCTGCAGTTATAAGACGATCACCTGGTACGAGGTTCAGGTACGAAGGGGATTTTACATAAGTATTCCAATGACCTATTCCTCTAATAGACCAGGACAATTTAGAAAATCGTTAAACCGTTGAGGGAAAAATAAAATAGAACATACTTGACTTTAGGTGATCTATTATCCGAATGCGGTTGGGATCCAATAAATATTCGTGGAGTTTGGTTATCCATTTGAGCCCCGAATAGTATTCGCAAATGCTCAAAGAATGAGGGAACTGAGGGTAATTGAAATGATAAATAATACTCATTAGAAGTTTCCCATATTATTTTTAATTTGAAATAGCTACATGGATAAATGAATGAAAAACATTTTAAACAAAAAAGACAAAAGGGCACTGGTTATTATTTTGGGACTATTAATAATTAGGCGGACCCGTAGATCAAATACTTTTGATATAGCCACGTTAACTGGTATTAACCTAAACAATTAAAGGTCATGTTAGATCACTAATTTATCTATATAATTTAGGGACAGAGTAAAAATGGTGGTGTAAAATATCGAAAAAACTATATCAATATATTATTAACTTTGTATTTCGAAAAAAAGGTAAAAACATATAGATAAAGTTGGCAAATGAGTTATCAAAGTTTAGGTTTATACTTTTACCTGAAACTGGCAAAATTGATAAGATAAATTTTGATACGATACTGTACATCAATTTTTAAAACTAAATTGTATCAATATAACTCGGAATAACAAAGAGCGTGGTTATAAACTGTTTCTCCATCCTAGGTGTATCTTTTCCGGCTGTCATTAGTAGTGTTTTATGCATGTCCGCTGTCATGGGAATTGTAGTCAGAAAGGTCAAGTGATAAAGTATGAGTTCCTCGACAGATTTATTTTTGCTAATATATTTAGTATTTTATATTCATAAATGGTTAAATATATTTCTGCATTATGACCTTTAATTCAGAAATAAACAGGAAAAGTGACAGGACGTATTGATAATTTTGGATCATAATTGCCATTATTCCGAAAATACCCTAAACTGATATGCATCTAAGATTTGCGTAAAACAACTAAGTTGTTGGGTTAACGCCACGAGATCTATATTCTTCTGCAAATTCTCCTTTTATGTTACATGCACACATATTTACTATTTTTAATCTTATTAGTATAGTTTCATTGAAAATAGACTTGGAACTTGTCGTATTTCATTATAAATAACATTTTAATGATAAACCTCAAATTAAAAGGGAAATATAAAAAGATCTACTTGGCAGCTCGGGTTGAAGTGTTAAAGCATACTCAAGTAATTTAAGTAGAGCGTCGTGAATTTCTTTGTATGATTGGAAATGAAACAACCTTAGGCATTAATGAAGAATACTTAGGTAATCTTATCGATTTCATACAATTTTTGTTAAAATTAATCTACCATACCCATATTATGATCTATAAAATTATCTGTAAAAGCTTGCAAATTAAAATAAAATGATCCCATTAGGTAATTTAAATGAAGTAAAATATTACTAATGATGGTATGTTGCAAGACCTTCAATTACAACAGCATTACTTTAAGGCTAGTGCATAGAGTCAAGTAAAAGAACATAATTTAATGCCTACCAAAACACATGAAGTAGCAGAAAATGTTAAAGGGATCGAATTTTAGAGCAAGAATATGAAAACATCAAAGTAGTAAGTTGAGAGTATTAACTGAGACCTTTGGTTAATCAAATTCAATGAGTTTGAATAAGTTTTAGGGAACAATAGTTGTCTATTTTCCATATATGATAAAAGCGTTCTCATAATCTACTCTTCATTTACAAATTTAAACGCAACTTTTTCCATATTCGTAATGTCAACGAGAATGAGTGATGACTGGAATCCACATGGAACATGCAAGCGAATTCAAGCTTTGTGTTTCAGCCTCTACAATGAAGCTCCCACACAATGTAGAGCTTTTCTGCTACAAGCTGAAACAATCGTCACAGAGGTCTGACAAAATATCTCAGAAGCATAACACGTAGATTAACCAATGGTTTGGATACTGTGGAAAGGACACTTCTCGAGTCATGAGACACCTTTAGCCAAAGTGGGATAGTTCTAGGAAGAGTGTCCTCACTCGAGAGTGATAAGATGTGACGTGATGCCTCCCTCAGTGGTTTTAGTAAGAGGGATTTAGGTTGAATTC